TATACATATATGTATGTGTCAGCATGTGTATGTCCTTTCTTAAAGTTAATGCGTTTTTATTTTGGAATGTTCTTACAGCACATTATAATTTGTATTTTTGTTGATTAAACTGGTTTGATTAAATACTGGTAATAAATATTGTGAATTTGCATGCTCTGTACCATACAATCACTGACAAAGGAGATGACCTTCTGCATATTTGTTATGTATTTTAAGTTCTCTAGATCTGTGTTTCTCAACCTTCTTAGAGTCTCTGCAAAAGCACGATGCACGCAGCCTAAGGCCCCATTTACACTTTCGTGACGCATTACCACTCGTCGCGTCATTGCTTGCCAGCCCATTAATTTTACTAGCCTGTCGCATGCACAATAAATGTGGCAAAGAAGCTCATACAGCATTTCAAACTGCAAGTTTCACGTGGTTTTTGACCACAATTCTGTGCGCATTTGACGCATTAACAAGTAATAGCACACGCATTACTTGCGTGTGTTAAACATGTTCACATTAGAGGTGAGGAGATTAAGGGGGGATATGATTTCCATGTACAAAATGTTTAATGGTGGTAGCAACATTAGCGATAAACACCTTGTTTTGCGGATCCTCTCCCAGGTTTCTTGGCAGTTGAAGCAAATCTTTTGAGCCTCTGTAATATAATCTGTATGTACAGCTTGCACTGGAGAGTAGGCAATGTTTCCAGATGGGGGAAGAAGTGGGCAGAGCTAAATGCCAAGAGGGCAAGGAGCCCAAAAACTCCAGGCTCAACATATCCTTGCAAAGGTGACAAAGGGGGAGCAGGGACACTGGAAGCAGTGGCGTAGGTGGCAGTGGCAGAGTTGCTCGGTGGCGTGAAGGGCGAAGAGGGGGTTGCGGTGCTGACTGGGTGAAAGGTGCTGCAGGTCTGGGGTGTTGGGGAGTGCTGTGTCATGGGTTCTGGGATGCGAAGAGGTTAAGAGTCAGGGGTTCAGGAAGTGCAGTGGTAGGGATGCTGGGTGATAGGAAGATGCCATGGTGCAGAGTGCCAGGGGTACTTGGTTGTTCAAATGCAAAAGCCGTCTACCTGTAAGCTTGCAAAGAGGCTTCTCAGACTGAATGCCACCCAATATGAGGTAGGTTCCTAAACCGCATTGCATGCTGATCTAGGTTAAGTGCAGGGGAGTTTAGTTAGCATGAGGAAGTAAGTTATTTGATAGAAGTTACCCTTCAGACCTATGCATTGCTAACAAGGGACACTGATCTCCAAACAGCTAACTCTCCCTGGCGCTCCGGGAGTCTCTCGCTTCCGGCTGCCAAGGAGAGAAACACCGCTGTGTCTTTTTTTTTTATTCTGACACGGAGCCGTGTCAGAATAGAAAAAAAGAAAAAAAACATTTTTGCCCATTGGAATGCATTGCTAGATTCCTATTGGCTATTTCAATTTGCAATAGCCAATAGTAGACTAGCATTGTACCCGCCCTCTGCTGCAGTTCTCCATCAGCAGAGGGCGGGTACAATGCTAGTGCATTCCAATGGGGAAAAATGTTTTTTTTTTTCTATTCTGACACGGCTCCGTGTCAGAATAAAGAAAAAGCATGTTTCTCTCCTGGGCCGCCGGTGCGGGAGGCTCCCAGAGCGCCCGGGAGAGTTTTTTTCTTTTCTTACGGCAGCAGAACCGCCGGCCAATAGAAAACTATTGGGCGCAGCTAGCTGTCACTGCTAGCTCCGCACAATCGTTTTCTATTTACTTTTTTTAACTATTTTTCTGTTCTCAGAGGGACCGAGCAGAACAGCCGCGCCGAAATGCCGCTCAGCGGCATTCGGCTATTCACTCAATGCTGTTCGGCATCTATATGAATGGGCCTCCGAACAGCAGTGAGTAGCCTGCCGGAGGTTCGGCTCAGCGGATCCAGATGTTGGATCGGCTGAGTCGAAATCCTTCTGCACTTCGGGTCGGCTGAACATGCTGAGCATGTTCGGCCGCTCCGAAG